TCAGAGTTTATTTAAGCAAAGAATGATTCATGAATTGGGCAGCACTCAAAACCAGAACAGGTTAAGAGAGCTCCAGCTCACAGTGGGCAAAGACCTGTTTTAGGCCTGACACAGAAGCAAAGTAGAGAAATCATCTTATTGCCAAAGTGAGGTATCTGCTTTATGTGGGCATGGTATGATCATCCTGCCTGCGACTGGCTGAAGCTCAGCTGCTTATGCTTGGCTGAAACTTAGCTGTTTGTTATACCCCTTAGGTTTTGGTTTGTTTACATACTAAGTTAGGTCTTTGTTATACCCCTTAGTTAGGTTTTGGTTTGTTTACATACTAAGTTAGGTTATACTTTGTTACCTCAGTACTCAAGGTGTTTGTTATACCCCTTAGGTTTTGGTTTGTTTACATACTAAGTTAGGTTATACTTTGTTACCTCAGTACTCAAGGTATGAGGCAATGTTAAGTTGATTTAACAACTTAAATATGTTATGTTATGTTATGAAGCTGATGTAACAGAAACACCTAATCTGTACTGAAGACAAAACAAGTGGACATAATATTAGAAGGAAAGATTTAAATTTGTTGTAATAGTATTTTGTCTTATCAGAAATTAAACCCTGAAAGATGCTTGTAAGTAGGGAATAGTGGATTCTAACTCATTGAAAATGTTAGACACTGACTCAGGGACAGTTTTTCACACTGAATCAGTATGAAAACAGAAGCAGTTATTGACAGTCATATGATTCAGAGTTCATATTTTATTTGATGTTGTTTTCTTGTAGAACAGGGTCTTCCCCACGACTAACCTATCTGAGTGTTGCTGATGCTGATCTACTCAACCGGACTTGGTCACGGGGCGGAAATGAACAGTGTCTCCAGTACATTGCCAACCTCATCGCCTGCTTCCCCAGTGTGTGTGTGCGTGATGATAAGGGAAACCCAGTCTCCTGGTCTATCACAGATCAGTTTGCCACCATGTGCCATGGCTATACCCTGCCAGAGCATCGCAGGAAAGGTTATAGCCGGCTGGTGGCCCTCACGCTGGCCAGGAAGTTGCAAAGCCGGGGATTCCCCTCCCAGGGAAACGTCCTGGATGACAATGTGGCATCGATAAGCCTCCTGAAGAGTGTCCATGCTGAGTTCTTGCCTTGTCGTTTTCATAGGCTTATTCTCACCCCTGCAACATTCTCTGACCAAGCCCACCACTAGCCCAGTGAAACTAGAGGAATTTTCTTACTCTCCATGAACACACACACTCTTAGCTGCCAGTGAGGTAAGAGTTAAAACTGGAGTTAAGAGAATCTTGGGTTGTTGAAAAGGATCTGGAGAAAACATCCAGGATCAGACTCAGAAGCCTTAATTCTTCCCATTGTAGGTTTCTGCAGTAAATATCTGTTAGGGGTCAGGGGTAGCTGTGGCTGAGAGCAGAGGATGATTTCCTCCCTTAGGATCCATGGTAGGAAAAAAGGTTCTAAAACCAGCAGTTGTTAGCATTGTAGCAGAAATGACTGTATGAGAACAAATGATTTAACACAGGAACTTGTGGCTGCTGCTTTATTATTGCTGCTTGGACTCCTGCTCTGTATTCTCACAACACACTGCTCCATACTGCCCTAAACACTCCCCTGTCCCCACTGCTATGTCTCACCAACCTCTCTTTCTACCACCTCTGCCCCAAGTTCCCTGCAGGATATGCTGCTTTTTCCCTTTTAATTACTGGCTCTCCACTTTTGCCTATGATTCTAGCCTGTAGTTCTCCCCTGGGAATGTCCAAATGCAGTGGTTCTCACATTTTAGTGTTTATCAGAATTACCTGGAGGGCAGGTGGCAACACAGATGACTGGGCCCCTCTCTCCTCCATAGTTCTTGATTCAGGAAGTATGAGGTAAGGCCTGAGAATTTGCATTTCTAATAGTTTCCCACCACTGACTTACTTTGGATGGATAAAGATGTGAGCACTTTAATGTTATAAACAGATGATGTCAGCATAGGACTAGACCTTCTATAACCTATTTCGGCCCCCTTGTTTATAATCTCTCTCAAAAGAAACTAAGATTCATATATAGGTGTGTATACAACATATAAACACATATACGTACACATTTATATAGAGATTCCATTCGTATTTTCTATATGCATATACATATACTCATAGAACTTCGAAAAGATAATAAACTTTAACTTCTCATTACATATGAAGAATTTGGGGACCAGGGAAAATAAATGACTTCTTCAAGATTATATTATATATAATCAGTGCTGGAGGCCAAGCCAGAATGCTGTTGTTTTGATTTCAATCTGTTCTTTTCACTAAATCATGTACCCTTTTTATAAGGAAAATTTAAATGCTTAAATAATTAAATTAATACTTTTATTCTTTTGTCCTTGTCATTATTTGTTTTTAATTTGAGCTCCAGTTGCTTGTGTATATATATCTTTCAAGGACAGTAAAGGAGGAGATATACATCACAAGCTGTATTCTCCATTTGCAATAAAAGCAGGCATAAACACAATGTTTGGATTTGTCTAGTCTGTATAAAGTT